TGGACCCCCCCCCCCCCCCCCCCCCAATCTTGTCATAGGGAGGAGGGAGAGTGTTTTGCCTTGTTTATATCTTCTATTTTGTTTAAAGGTGTCAGGGATCTTAGAGTTGTATCCTCTTGCAAAATGGGAACAGTTCTATCAGTTCAGTAGTAAAATGTACATCTGTGCTGCAGGTACTTTTTTTTTTTTCTTCTCCAAGAGTAGCCAGTCTCTAAGTGCTGTTTTACATAAGCAAGGAGGTATGATCAGTGTTTGATACCACAGCAGCTAACACCGAAGCAACTAGTTGGAACTACAGTGTTTTAGTCTCTTACAAGGTCATTTACCCTTGCAGAGTTGAAAAAATGCTATTTATCCCTATGTTTCTGTTTAATTTTTATAATAAGGTGCAGACTATGGGGTGTGTGTAGAATAACAGTTGAGAAGCTTCATTGCAGGAGAGAAATACCTGTGAGGAAAATGAGAGGGAGAGGTAATAGAAAAAAAGAAAGAGTAAACTGAATGTGGTGATTGAATGTGGTGGTGCTGCAGTGAAAATCTGTGCCTGTTTATGTTGTGTTAGGGCAGAAAGGGGGATATTGGCATGAAAGGCACCTTCTGCTTTCTTACGTGGCACTGAGGGCTTTTGTATTCCCTGTGTTCTCTCTGGGTCCTTTGCTCAGTGCACAGGTGTAGAAACCTGGAGGTGAAGTTGCGTAGTTCCAGAGAGTGGTTGTTCCTCTCTGATTCAGGTCCATGCTAGGACCTGTCTCTGTCAGATAACCCAGTGCAAGCCAGGGGAGGCTCAGTGTCTTGATTCGTGTCAGAGCTCATCCAGCTGCCTCTAAAATTTTTGTACTCTTGCACAGAGGTGAGGTTCCAATAAGTTGACAAATCTAACATCACGGTACTTACTTAGGTCTTCCTTTCTCTAATCTTTTAATTGGAATACATTCAGTGATTAGGTTGCAAATGACACTGCTTCATACTGATGGTTTTCCTTCTTTTTCTTGACAATCATTTCTGCAAAAGGATTTAACAGTTTTTAGTTCAAAAACTTTACCCATAAATTGCTCCTGGATCTCACTTTAGTGAGAACACTTGGTTTTACGCTTGATGGAATTAATCAGCTTGTTGTCGCCTTTTTTGTTGTTAGAAAAACCTCATTTGATTGTTCATATTGTGTTTTTTATATCGTTTAACAGCTCAACAGTGTCCACAAAATTGCTTCCACTTTTATTCACGATAGAGCAAACAACATGCATTTGCTTTTCCAGCTGTGACATAGAGACATTCAAGTTTTGAATCAAAAGATGTGAAGTGGGAGACATGGTACATTTCACATTTTGCTCTGACACACCTCTCTAGATTGCATCTCGGTCTCCCTGGAGACCTGGTTATCTTTAAGTCTTAAGCTAGTTTAGGGCCTTCCTCTGTTATTTTCATGCAAACAAAATGGAATTTGATCTTCGTGTCTAAACAAGATGTATTGTGACTGTAGTCCAGTGCTTAGGATACTTATTTATATCCGGTAAAGCTTAGCTTAGCAAATTGTCTCAGGAGAGAAGTTGAACACCAGCATGAGGGTCAGGCTGATGTGACCATTTTGCAGATGAAGCTGGGAGCAATTGGAAGGTAGAATTATACTCCTGTACTTTAAATTCAAGTCCTTTGTCCCATAATAAAGGCATATGGGATATGATATGCTGACTACTTTAAATGCAAACTATAGGATGCAAGGGTAGACATTTTGTTATTATTAGAATTTTCCTTCAGACAGCTTTTCTTAATTAAAAGAAGAAAAAATAATTCTGTGTTTTATAAATGTCCTGATCTTGTTGGGGTGTGTATAAAGTATGCTGTAAGAAGGCTTTCCACACTCACCCTCTTTGAAAAATGTGGGTAAAGGGTAAACATGTAGCTTTCTGGAGATAATTGGGTAAAACAAATGGGTTCCTTACACATTTAAGCACTTTAAGGGCAAGTGTGGTGTTCGGTCTGGTCTTTTCGGACAAGGGTGAGTTATGTATCTGTGTTGTCATTAGTATTGTCCTCAGAGTGGAATGAGAGGCTATGTGTTACAGAAGCCATCTGCATAATTAGAAGAATGTGCTTCCTATTGTGAAGGAATAAAAAGTTACATTTATGAAACAGATACCTTTATATGGGTACATTTGCCTTTATAAGAGGTTTTGGTTTCAACTGTGTTTATGATTATAGTAGCACTTCTCAATCAGTATGTTAAGAAAGTGATTTCCTTAGTTCATCCCAGATGTTACTGCAAGAAAAGAGAAAGTGTGCAGCAGAACAATGACCCTCGTCTTCAGAAGAATGGACTTCAGCTTCTTGATTGAGCTTGTAGATGCTCATGGGAGGCAGCTGTGAAGAATAAAGAGATCCAAGACAGGTCCAAGATTGGAAAGAATAGCCTCTGTCAGGCATAGAAACTACTTGTTTTAAAATTCACAGGCTGGGTGGATGTGGCAGGAGGTCCACATGGCTGAAGGGGGAGCTCTGACTGAACTCAAGTGCAGAAGGCACCTGTGCATAGGTGGAAGTGGATGGGCTGCCTGCAGGAAATAAACATTGCTCAGATGGGATAGAAGATCCAAGCTCAGCTGGAACTGAAATTTGTGATGAATGAGAAGGTTGCCAAGGGCTGTTACAGCTGCCTAAGTGGCAAGAGTGAATTAAGGAATATGCAGGCCTGCTAAAGAATGGGGTAGTGGGCCTAGTGACAAAGGAAGTAGAAAAGGCTGAGTTACTCAACAGATTATTTTGCTCTTTCTTTACTGGCAAGGTCTGCTGTCAAGTCTCCTAGATCTATGTGCCTAGAGTCCATGTCTGGGCCATGTTAAACAAGATTGAGTCAGGGACCTCTTAAGGAATCTAGACTTATACAGAAATTCGTGGGACTGAGTGGGATGCATCCAATGCTGCTGAGGGAACTAGTCAGTGCAGAGCCTCTCTCTGTCATGCTCAAAAAGGCATATGATGACTGAGTGAAGTGCATTATGACTGGAAAAAGGCAAGCATCATAGCTATGCTGAAGAAAGATAAGGTAGATTTGGGGAACGTCAAGCCAGGCAGCCTAATCAAAGTCCCCAGGAGAATTGTGGAGCCAATCTGCCTAGAAACTATTTCCAGACACATCAGGAGAAAGTGACCAGGAACAGCAAACACAGATTGACCTGGGCAAGTTGTGCCTGACCAACCTGGTTGCCTTGTACAATGATGTGATTAGCAGTGTGGTTGTGGGGAGAGTAAAACGTTTGACACAGCCTTTTTGTGTCCAAAGTGGAGAAATGTGCACTAGATTTGCAGGTTACCAGATGAGTGGAAAATTGGCTGGACCAGTGGGCTCAAAGAGTAGGAGTTCAGATGGTTATTTAGGCATTCCTCAGGAGTTTGTATTAAGGATGCTAGAATTTAATGTCTTCATCAGTTACCTAGAAAACGGGAGGAATACATCCTTAAGAAGTCCACAGATGACACCAAACTGAGAAGGTGAATGACGGATGAGCTGATAGGTCAGGGCTGATATTCAGAGGCACTTCAGCAGGTTGAAGAAGTGGACTGATGGGGACCTTTTGAAGTTCAACAGTCAGGTATAGATGGGGACCTTTTGAAGTTCAACAGTCAGGTACAGAGCCCTACACTTGGAAGGGATCAGCATCATGCAACAGGTACACTTGGGGACTGACTGTCTAGAAAGCTGCTTTGCAAAGTGGTATCTGGGAATTTGGTGGACAAAAAGTTGAGCAAAAATCAGCAGCATGCTCTTCAGTAATGAAGGCCAAGCCCACCCTGGGTAGCATTAACAGCATTTTATTTGAGGAATTCATTAATCCCCTCAATTCAGCACTTGTGAGGTGGCATTTAGAGGGCTGTGTGCAGTTTTAGGCTCACCAGTACAAGAAAGATGTGGACATACTGGAGACAGTCTAGTGGTGGGCCACTGAGATGGAGGCTAGAGCCCTTGATATACAAAGAGAGTCTGAGAAACTGGGTTGTTTTGCCTTGAAGAACAGATAGCTTGGCAAGACCTTTCTAATTTCTGTTTTCAGCTATCTAATGGGTGGTCATAGAGAAGACAGGCTCCTGGAAGTGCAGATGGAAAGTGAGAAGCAATGGGCTGATGTTACAGCAGGAGAAATTCTGAAGAGATATTAAAAATCTTCAGAGTGAGCAAGGTCAAATTCTGGAGCAGGTTGTTTAGAGAAGCTGTGTCTTCATCCTTGGAGATGCTCAAAGCTTGACTTGATACAGCCCTGAGCAATGTGAATCTGACTTCAAAGTGGGCTCTTGTCTGAGCAGGAAAGTGAACTAGACAGTCTTCCAACATTGTTTCATGGTTGCATTAACAGCAGCATAAATGTCTTCAGAGAAGATTCAAAATAAAGTGGTGGAAACAACAAGAAAGCCACAAGGCAAAAAAGCAAAAAAACCAAAATTGCAGAATGGAAATAAAAATCATGTGAGAGAGGAGTCAGTTGTATTTGAAATGCTGTAATTCTGAAAGTATAAAAAATTTGCATTTGTAAGACTTCGTATGTTTGTATAGAATTTATGACATGTCTTACTCCTTTTGTTTTGAGAGTGGGAGAAATGCCATATTAAGCCGCTCATTGTTGTCCACAATTAATTGGAAATCAGTGACTGGAAACTATTAATCAAAATGTGGAATGCATTTCTTTTGAACACCAGAGGAAAAGGAACAAAAAAGAATCAGAGCTGTTATGAATGGACTGAATCTTCTGTCTTGAAAAATGCATGATTGTTTATTGCGTTACAGGACGTAAGTTGTAAGACAAGTGTGGATAATGTCCCCTTTCCCCTTTTCAGCCCCTGATGGACTGCAGCTATCTTGGGATGTCAGTCAGCCACTGTTAATCCCCGTGTGAACTCAGACAATGGTGAAATTTCCAACCTTGTTACCTGGAAATGAGCGCTCTCTTCTCAGCTGAAAGACCTTGATATTTGAAATATGCTGACCACTGATAAAGTTGTCAGGCTCAGATAATTAGTGATGGTGACTGAAAAAAGAAAAAAACAAACCTAAAATGGTGCAATTTATAGTCTATCTAAAATTTTCATTTTATAAAAGGTTTTTAAAGTTGTGTGAGGTGGTGCTCATCTCAGATGCTTGCTTGGTTTAAAATGTATACGTAAAATGAACACATATTACTTTACTTAAAAAGTAAAGCAGAATATAATATATATGAGTTCTTGTTTGGCTTTATACAGTACTGTCTGGACTTCTGGATTTTGCTATCCAAACAGCTGATTGCTGTTTGGATAGCAAGAGACCAGTTCTGCACTGCCTGCCAGCTTGCCTGTGTTGAAGAGAACCTCAACATTTCTGCTGCCAAGTCAGGTCAAAATTTCTGGCTGACCAGAGAAGCAGATCTTGAAAGAAAAGATTTTGGTCAGGTTTATGTGTTTGAGTTTTAAAATGTACTGCCTGGCATTCTTTTTGTTTGTTTGTTTGGTTGGTTTTTTGTGTTTTTTTTTTGTTGTTGTTGTTTTTGTTTTGGTTTTGTTTTGTTTTGTTTTGTTTTGTTTTGTTCCCCCCCAGTCTTTGTTGTTTTACATCATAGCTGCATAGATTTAAATATTATGACATCAAAATGGTAAATTTTTTATTGGAAAAAATGATGAGTGAATGGCTACATGTGGGTAGATTCTTGGGTAGGTTTTTTTTTCACAATACTTTTGTGATAAACTTCTATAAAATATGCATGATGAAATGTCCGCACATATACTTAATTTGACTGTTAAAAGATAGAAAGCAGATTAATTTGATGTTGTATTAATGATAAGCTTTCTGGGAGTGGTTACAGCCAGACAAAAAGCTTTTCTGTTAGTATTGGCATCTGAAGTTCCAACCCACAAACTTCAGGTTGAATCTTAGTTCTCTTGTGTATTCTTGAATCTAGAATACTTAGAAAAGCTAGCTCCTATTTTGCTTATATTTAGGAGAAGGGAAACATCATGTAAATATACTTGCCAATATTGTAAATCATGCTGCAAAGATTTACAAAGTTATTTTGGTTAGTTGGTATTGTGATGTAATTGAACAGGAAAAATTATTATTTCCTCTGTCACCTGGATTTTTCTGTCTTTGAACTTTTAATTCAGGGAGATGTGTAGTTTACCTGGATTAAGGAATTGAAAAATGACAGTATTTGGTGGGTGCAGCTGTTTAAAATATTCTTCACTGTCCTGAAGGAACTGATCTGTGGCAGTTCCCTGGCTAATCTAGACACTTGTGGCCAGCCATTAAAATTCTTCTGTTCTTGCCCCAAACAAAATAAGTTATTGATGGCTAGCACTACATTTTTCTAACTCATTGTGATCAGTCTGAACTTTCTTGCAGTTCCTATTTTGAAAAACACTGGGATAGATTTAAAAACAAAATAACTTTTAATCAGTCTTTCGCAAGGAAATATTTTATTAGTTGTTTATCTTGAGCTGCTAAAACTTGTGAAATGAACTGGATGTGATGTGTTTCAGAGGTAACATTGTGACAAAATAAGGTAAAAAATAGTAATACATGATAAAAAATGAATACATTGTAAACGGAACAGTTTATAACTGAACAAAATGAGATAAAAAAGACTAGGGCAAAGACAGCTCTAATAATTATGTGGTGTAATGAAAAAGAAGGTGGTGAATTTTAAGACAGTTAATGGGATGATGGGAAATTGAGATTGAGTGATAGGAGATTAAATAAATGTGGCTTACTGAACTTGAATTCCAGTCCAGATGTTAGAGTATTGCAGTAAGTATAATGTATATTTTATTGAAGTATTTTTCAAATGCGCTTAACAAATTTTTGCCTTTGACACACTGGTTTCAGTGGGAACCACATTCAGGTCTCCTTGAGCAGTTCTAAAGATTCCTTGTGTCCTGTTTGACTACAGCATGGCATATTGAAACATAAAATTATTGTGGTAGTGCAAAACATATTGGTAGCCAGTGAAAAACATGGGTACTCAGTGAAGGACATCCCGATTCTAGTGTGTGTTCTGTAACTGAAAAATGTGTACTTTGTAAGAGGGTAAAATGAAAAATGCCACACCCAAGTATCCACGGTGAAATGTCCTTGTCTCTTTGTTACAAATCAGCATGCTGGATTTCCAGTGAAAGAATCATCCCTTAAAACAGCAGATAAAATTTCTGAGAAAATTTTCCTACATGTACTTCCTTGGGGGGACCACTTGAGGGCAGCGTAAGACTCTTGTTAACTTCAGCCTCTAGTGTTTCAACAGGGGCCTTGAGTGCCTTGACTTTTCACTTCATTGTAACACAATGTGAATGGTAATATCAAAGGTAAAAAGTGACTCAGCTTTTTAAATGGCCTCTTCTCTGATGCACAGAATTTCTTGTTTGCAGAACAGCACGCATCAGTTCAGCATGGTTAATAGATAGCCTTTTTCAGAGTTTTAGCTTTTAATTAGTTTGAGGCAACCTTAAGAGCTGCTGTGTGATAGTTCAGCAAAAATCTTGCTGGTGTCCTTGTGCACCGTGCATTGATTGTCCTTGAGAATTTATTGCATACACTGTGTTTATATGATCTTGATGTTTTCTGGAGGGTCCTTTCCAAGAATTATCAGTGCAAGTGCTACCAAAATTATGCCTAGTTTCATGTTTTAGAGGTGGAATGTGTAAAAAACCTTATCTTCACATCTAATAAATCATCACTGCAGGCACATAAAACATAGGTGGTTACATAACACTTTCCTGTAGAAATGCTGCCGTTGCTGCCTCATTATTCAGGCAAGTACTGGATTATTTCAGTGTATCATTACATTTTTAGGACTCTATTCAGAACATTCATAGGGAAAGAGTCATAAAAAATATCTAAGTAATAACTAGAAGTAGACTAACAACCACTTAACTACAGTTTTCTTCTTAACTGTAATTATATATATCAGTGTAATCTTTCTTTCAGAAACGCTTTGGATTTATGCACAGTATTATAAAATCTCATAATGAATAATGCTGTCAGTCACTTAACATTGATCAAGTTTTTTCAAATCACTCTTTAGATGGAGGGCTGCATTTCAGTCAGGAGGAGTATTAAAGTATAAAATGAGAGACTGAATGACATTGAATCTCATTGGCTCTTTTAATGTCTTGGTTTCCCTCCCTCCCTGCAATGGGCTGCTGGTATCTGATTCACTAGCTCCTTCCTTATGTTTTGGTTTAAACTGCTGGAGGTGCCATTCATGCCTCAGAACCTTACTGAAACAGGAACAAATTCTGTGTATTTCAAGGGCAAACACTTCAATTAACTGAGGGAAGAAATAATTTGATTTACAATATCTGCTAAGCAGTGATGATTGTATGCAAAGGTTTTGGGCTACAAGCATTGAACAAGAAAAAGGAAAGCTTTAGAAAGCTGCTGTGTGAAAGCAGTTTTGTTTTTGAGAGAGAATGAAAAAGTGAAAACAAATAAATATTGTAGACTAAAGCAGGAATAGGAATGTGAATCTAGAACCAGATATGAGTCAGGTTTGACTGGAATTCTTGTTATTTTGCCAACGTTTAGTAACTCAAGTAAGCAGAGACTATTTTATCCTGTAAAAAGTCCCATTGTCTTGGGAAACTACAGTTTAGAGTGAAAAAGGACCATATTCTGGCTCTTTTCTTCTGAAGTTTCACTACAACAAATTAGTTTTCTAAGATCTAAATGATAAAAAATTGTTCACTGAACTCTATGCTGCATGGGCTGGGCCTTAACTTCTGTGAACAGGAAGAACATCTGCCTGAATAAAGTCAGATCCTGTCTGTGACTGTTGTGACTATTAGTGATGATCCCTTGCTACCTACCTACCTACCTACCTGTTGCTGGCCAGTGAAGTTTTGGAGTTGTCAATCTGTTTTTCTCAGTAAGTTTCATGTTTGCACTGAGATTTGCAAGTATGGGGCAGCTTGCAAGATGTGGTCCTTGAGTTGTATATTCTTCTAAGCAGAGGGGCCTGTTTGTTTGCTGGAGCATATGAGTATATGTGGTGCTAAATAAATTACACCAGATTAATCAAAAAAATAATGCAGGAGTGCTATCTTTAAGTTAGCTGCAGCCCTCTATTTGAGTAGAAAGCACAGTGAAGAAGTGTTTTGTAATTCTGAATTTGAAAGTTGTAACAATAAGTAATTTCATTATTGAACTAATGAAAGAGTTGTATTACAGGCTACACTGCTTCATCAACTGTAAAAATCTTTTTCAGTATATAAGAAAAATATATTCTGTCTTCTTTGTGATTTTTCCTAATTGCTGCATATATATGCATTTCTGTACATTGCTGTTGTTAAAACATCAAAACCAGCAACATAAGACTTATTAACGGAATCATAAACTGGATGAGACTTTTAACACACTGCATATTTAATGTCTGGCTTTAGGATGCCAATGATTTGAAAAGGTAAAAAAGGAGTAGAAAAGGATACATTTTCTGAATCTTAATTCAAAATACCTTGGGAATACTTCTGTCAAGATGTCCCTTGTTTTAAGGGTTTTGTTATTTAAAAAAAAAAAAAAAAAGTAGTGAAACCTGATATATACAGTTAGAGTCTATAATACCAGGAATGACTTTTGTGGCTTCCTCTGCCTCACTGTGGGAATTTGTTGACTCCTTGCAGCTTTTTCAGAGACCTGATTTACAAATGTCTTCAGGGCTTGCTGTTTGCTTCATACATGTGTCCTGCACTCAACAAAGCTCCTAACAGTTCAAAAGAAAATGCATTGCTTTAAATAGCCTAAGTCACTGGACAAGATCTTCTATTCTCTGTAATGCAGGTGCTTTCAGAATGTCACAGAGGGGGAGGTGACAAGCAAGGAAGACTAGGTGAAACTTAAAGGCATCTAACTTTGATGTGTAACAGCAGCTCAGGAAAAGTATTTTCCACTTACCATTTGTAATGCTTGTAAACCGTTAAAGGCTGCTGCTGGTGAAGCTAATGTCTGAGTGTACTTTTATTTCCTACTTGTACATGGTTGGTGCAGTAGGAACTAAAGGTGAAATCTTAACTATATTGGGGCCTCAAAGTAAGATCTTACAATTTTGATTTTACCCAGCTGCTTCAAAAATAGCCAGTGTCTCTTTAAAAAGTAGTGTGGTTAGTAAAATAAGAAGTGTTAGAGGGAGATTTTAGCATTTAATTAAAGCAGCTAAGGGGAAGAAACAGACCAGCTTTTACTCTCAGAAGCTCTCTTCATGTTTGGTGTAAAAGCTGTAGAAGTGTTTGTGCAAGTTCTACTATATGATTACTTGCATTAACAACCTGATCCAGATGGCAAAGCGTCTAGCCAGAGGAGATGAATTACTGGACCTGTTGCTTGCCAACACAGAGGTAATTATTGGAGCAGTCAGGACTGGTGGTAGCATGAACTGCAGTGATGATGCGCTGGAGGGAATTCAAGATCTCAAGGTATATGGGCCAGGTGAAAAGTATAGTCAAGAACTTAAACCTCAGGAAAGTGAACTTTCAGTTGTTCGAGGAACTAGTGGCTGGGGCACTCTGAGAAACTGCTCTCAGGGATAAAGGAGCAGAAGAGAGCTGGCACCTATTTAAAGACATTTTTCCCAGAACTCAAAAAAATCTTGATTCCCATGTGCAAGAAATCATGACAAGGAAGGCAGGAGACCAGCATGGCTGAGCAAGGACATCCTGGTCAAACTGAAACACAAGGGAAATGCATAGACAGTGGAAGAAGGGAAATGCATCCTTGGAAGAATACATGGATACTGCTGGGAGTGTAGGGATGGGATCATGAAATCTAAAGTACATCTGGAGCTAAATTTGGCAGTCTGTGAAGAATAGTAATGGCTTCTACAAGTACCTTAGTCAGAAAAGAAGACAAATGGAATTGTAAACTCTACCTCCCTGTCTGGATAAATGACACAAGAGATCTTGAGACAACTGACATGGAGATGGCTGAGGTATTCAGTGACTTCTTTGCCTGGGTTTTCACTGTTAATTGCTCTTCCCCCAGCTTTTGAGTCCCTTCATGTCAGGGCAAGCACTAGGAGAATGAAGTCCCACCTATTGTGGGAGAAGATCAAGCTCAAAACCATCTGAGAAAACTGAACATATACAGGTCCATAGGACTCAATGAGATTCATCCCACGGTCTTAAGAGAACTAGTAGTTGTAGTCACTAATTCAGTGACTGAATGTCCAAATGGAAACAAGTAACTAATGGTGTCCCTCAAGGGTCCATACCAGGGCCAGTACTATTCAATATCTTTATTAATAGCATAGACACTGGGTTTAAGTGCACTCTCAGTAAGTTTGCAGATGACACCAAGCTGAGTGGTGCAGTTGATATAGTAGAGGGAAGGAATGCCATCCAGAGGGACCTTGACAGGCTGGAGAAGTGAGCCAGTGTGAAACTTGTGAAGCTCAAGAAGGTGAGGTGCAAGGTGCTGCACATGAGTCGGGTTAGTCACCTGGGTTAGGGCCATCACTAGTATCAGTACAGGTTGGGTGGTGAATGGATTGAGAGCCATCCTGCAGAGAAAGACTTGGGGATACTGGCAGATGGAAAGTTAGATACAAGGTAGCAATGAGCGCTCAAAGCCCAGAAAGCCAGTTGTGTCCTGGGCTGCATCAAGAGAAACGTGGCCAGCAGGTCAAGGGAGGTGATTCTGCCCCTCTGCTCTGCCCTTGTGTGACCCCACCTGCAGTAGTGCATCCAGATCTGGGGTCCCCAACATAAGAAGGACATGGAGTGGGTCCAGAGGAGAGCCACAGAAATGATGAGAGCAATGGAACACCTCTCCTAATATGACAGACTGAGAGAACTGGGGTTGTTCAACCTCGAGAAGAGAAGGCTCTGGGGAGACCTTATTGTGGCCTTTCAATATATAAAGGGGGCAACTTACCAGAAAGATAAAGACAGACATTCTGAAGCTGAAAGAGGGTAGATTTGGATTGGATATAGGGAAGACAGGGTCAGAATTAGCAGAAATATTAGTGGAGTCATGTTCCCACCATTTTGCTCAGTACATCTGGGCTGTGATTGCCTTAGCTGGAACAGTGTAAACTCTGAGGTTTTCTCAGCTTTGTAATAGCACTAGCAGGAAGTGAATTTATTTTAAGTACTATCTGTGACTGTGACTAAAAGAAACAGATATTGTAATAATGTTTAATGAACTGCAGATATAAAATGGTTGCATTTTCTTCTTTATATTTCTACTTTAGATTGATTAAATGCAAGCTGCAGAACAAAAATCCTCACTGGTTTAGCTTTGTCACTTTTGATGAGTGTAATAGGGAAAATTAGCGTTCAGCTGCAGTGTTTATGTTTTCTTGGGGAACAGATACAAATGAGAGACAGAAAGTGGAACATTTATTTGAAAACAGTAACTTTTCACTACCTAGAACCTCTAAATAAATTATGAAGGCACTGGACACCTAGAGAAATACAATGCGGTCTTGAGATACCTGTCAATCCAGGAAAGAGGGCAGTTGTGAGAGGCAGTGCCTGTGTATGCTGACCTGAAGAATGATTTCTCAAACTTCTGGTTTCTCTCCCATGAAAAATTCAATCAGAAAGCCACAGCTCTATTTCACATCTTGCTGGAATGTGTGAGTCTCCACATTGTTGCTCATTTCTGCCTCATTTTTGAAAAGCACTGACTGTGCCACAGTGTTCATATCTAAATACTTGAAGATACTGGACTCCCTTTTCTTCTCCCAGTGATGCAGACCTGAGCCAGACTGCTGCTGCTGCTTGCTGTTCTTGTAGGTATTCTCTGAATCAATCAGGAGCTTAGACTGTACCAAGCCTTACTCTCTTACAGGAAATGGGTTTTGGAGTAGCCCAACTGACTAAAATTATTTTATAGTAGAGGTGGTTTTGGTGAGCTGTTCTCACCGACTGAGAAGTTCAGGAATCAGTTTTGCACTAGGCAGCCTTTGGATAGTCTTTGCATTCAGTTGTGGTAATTTTGATAGTAAGCTGTTAGCTGATTTGTTAATTTTGTATTTGGATAATAACAGAGTGCCTCTGTGGGAAAATAGGAGTCATTCCTCTTTTGTATCCTGTTGGCAGCTTTCATGAGGCTACATTTGTGGAGTGTCAAACAAATGTGCACTTACAGCTCAGAAGCGATTTGAGCTTACAAGATTTCTTTGTAAGACATTCAGAACTCAGCTCTGCTAATAAATGAAAATAACCAGGACCTTATTAACAGCAGATCCTGGCAGGAAAATGAGCAGAGCACTACTTGAGATCAGAAAGGAGACAGACAATTACCTTAGTAAGAGCTTGTCTTGCTACTAAGTGGAAGTTACAGCACTTGTGATAAAGAGACTGTTAGCAGGGTTAAGAGTGTTTCACATATTACAGCTATTTCCAGAAAACAGCAGATAGTTATTGTAAATTGGAATTTTATACACACACACAAGCTATGGATTATTTTCTGTTTATTTTTATACTGCTTTTAATGTCAGTGTTGATGTATCTATATCCACCAAAGTATCACGTATTACTATGGAAACTAGGCGTGTGATTTAATAATAGATGCATCACTGCTAATTTCTGTTTTATAAAATTGGAATTAGTTTGGAGTATTTCAGAGATGCTAACCAGAATGCTGAGCCTACTGAAAGGTTTTTGTTGGCTGTATGTAAAGAAATATATTAGTGTTAAAGGATTTCTCCAGACTGTGGGTATCTCTAGGCTTCCTTTATTAATAACTCGGAGTTGGGCCATCACCTCATTGAATGGCAGCAGCTAACAAAAAATGCCCTGTATATATATGATCTAACATACAATACAAAGAGTCTTTGGTGATTTTCCAGGAACTTTCAGCTCTCAATTCATCATCAATTTCAAAAGTTCATTGTATTCCACAGTTTTGACTAGTTCTTATCATTCCATTCCAATTTCTCTTTGGACGCCACTGTTCATTGATGCAGCCTTTGGTCATCATGGTTACTTATCTCTGAACAATCTTCATCATAATTCACTTTTAGACTTCTGAGAAAAGACTCAGAATCTTCTATTTAACATATACTTGATCTATGTCTAGCTTTTCATTACCTAAACTTTCTAAGTTGCTAAAACTGTCAGTATTGTTCCTAGACCACCTATGCTTTGTTAATTAAACCTATAAACCAATATCTATTTATTAATTATTCCTCCTATTAATAATATGCTAAGAGAAAAGAGTTTTCTAAAGCTTGTTCCTTTTACCATTAGTACAGGCTTCCCTATGCTGCTTCACAATATACTTGATCATTAGAGTGAATAGTTAATGACCTTGTTCTTAACCTGTCTGCCACTACTGCCCATGTATTGTCAGTGATAAAGTTTACCAGTCTGTTTGATACAGGTGAATTTTTTTTTTTGGCCATCCATTCGGGGATGTAGGTGCTTAAAAATGGAAAGAAAGAGTTAATTCCTCCGGGCTTGGAAGTGCTGATAGAAAGGCTCAGGGCAGCATGGACACCCTGTGTCAGACTGTCAGATGTCCTTGTAAGGCAGTT